TAAATATTTAAGACGTAGAAAAATGGAAGCTGCCTCTACAGATTATCTGAGGAGGTACTAAAACAGTGTTGTTCATAATTTATTGATTTTTTTCTTATTGATATCCCTTACAGTTGTGGTGGAGGTGAGAGCTACTACACCTGTGATTCATAAATACCTAACAAATGAGGCTCTGCTCAAAGCTAAGTTATCATTTCTAAAATGACATCATTTTATATTTCCTATAAATTACTCTCCTTCTTACATTATTATACATGATATTATCTTCAGTATGGAAAAGGCCGTAAACGAATTGACTAAGATAACAGCAATTTTCAGGTTATAATTTAACCCGCTGAACAAGCGGATAATCCATTACTACCACTACCACTGTGGCGTGTGCTACTGATAAGCTTGATAAGTGGTATATAAAAAGACGTTCATACGTTTAAAACTATCAAATAGCAAGAAGGTAGATTTCACGTCAGATTCAGCGTTTCAGAGAGACATGGTAGACGTGAAAGGAACACAAATAAACGCATTATTAAGGACAGAAGTAGAACATCACGGAAGATCTGTGCAAATGAGGATTTTCAGATAAGGTGTAAATAGCGATAACAAGTTCTAAATAAACATTCCGTTACCAAGTCACTTGTCTTTTATCACTGAACTATGACAAATATTTGGATACTAATGCACGCGCATCAGTCAGTCTGAAGCAGCGTTTTTAACGGAAAAAATACAAAAGGATATGGCAGCGGAATTATTTATTGACAAATTGGTGTACAGATGTAGGCAAAATATGTATACCGTATGTTAGAATCACAATTAGCACATATCTATGGTATTGTGCTACTTTGTGTTCTTTTCATGCTGTCCATGTGGTGTCACAAGGATATTTAATTTCTTCTTTTCACCACTACATCCATTTTTCTGCTATTCAATATTACTGTAGATCCTATACGTGTTTATATCTACATCTATATACTACTTATAAATCTTATCAGTATCACATGGCACACTCGTCACTCATACTGATGCTATTATTATCAGTAGTAGTAGTAGTTGCGGTAAGTAGTTTATTATTACTCAAATCAGTCCGTGGCATGCAGGTGGAATTATTATAAATTATTTAAATTAATCCCAGCGTGTTAAGAAAATCAAAAAACAAGATTTTTCTGAACGTTTCGCCGTGTAAGCCACAGCTTCTTCAGCAGATTTATTTGGATTTTTATTGATCATCAAAATATATAGTCAAAACGTTTTACATAAAATGAAGTCAGTTTATTTGAAGGTCATTTCTCCATGAACATTTTTTACCAATAGAAGTATGTAAGCTGTCCTCACATATATTTTGATGATTAATTATAATCCGAATAAATCTGCTGAAGAAGCTGTGGCTTACACAGCGAAACGTTCAGAAAAATCTTGTTTTAATTTTCTTAACACGCTGGGATTAATTTAAATAATTTATAATGAATCAATCTGACTCGGCGCTCAAATTATTCCAGGAAATTCGTAACACCTACGGTCTGGAAACCTATAATCTTATTAAAAATCAGGTGGAATTATGTCGTTGAGTTTTCTTTCATATGTAGAGCAGATGATATATTGTGACATAACTGTTTTATGTTTCTAAAATGGAATTTCATCCTCAACTGGGTAATTTTCAAAATAATTCATTTTATTCAACCTACTTTTTATTTATAAAAAATAATTTACTTCTGCGTTGCACGCATTTACCCCCACCTTATGAACCTCATGTTCTTTCCTTATGCCCAAACCTCACTTGGTCAATATTAAGTCAGGTAACGAGGGAAGACTTAATGAGTGATCGTAGCAACCATCCCCCACAAAAGAACACCACCCCTATTAGAAATTCAGAGTTCAAGCGTGAATCCCTATATTCCATTCGGAATGAAAAATCAATACGCCAAAGAACATGAAGATATTAAACTGTGATAAAATCTATTAGAATGCACATCAAGGAGAATCATGTTCCTTTAAAGCCACAAAGTTTATGCTTAAAATATTTACTTCTAAAGCTAGTTAATCAATAAAAATGATCCTGGTAGGTAATTTGTCGGTGATGGAAAAAATATAAGTTTGAATAAAGCAAGAAGAAGAGTGTATGCACAACAAGATGGTACCATCATTCACTTCATTTGCCTCACATCAGCTACTTACAACCGGAAGATATCATTCAGTTTATGTACAGAAACAATTTTAAAATACCCACACAGACAGTTCAAGTTTAAACAAAAAATCAGTGCATGCATACATTGGTGATAATAATAATAATAATATTAATGGCCACTTTATTCCAAACTACATATCAATCGTAGAGACTGAAATTCGTGGCGTTATGTGATCAAATGAAAGAAAGAATGGAGACATCTAGTTACCAGGTCAAGGAAAGACTCTTAACCTCTTCCTTCTCAACGGATAAATTGGGTTTCAAGCATTCGATGGCGATGGTTGTGGTAAACTTCGGGAGGAGTGAGCTATTCGTCTATTGATAATTTTCAAGTATTTCATGATGTCCACCTCATGACATGTACTAACGCGATGTCTGGTGATAGCATCATTGTAATTGTTTGTTTCCTTGATATGTAGGCCTTTTGACACATGTTCAGGAAATCGGAGGTGTACCGATCTTTCTTTCCCTCGAATGTCAGGTAAATCACAGTGGAAAAAAAACCTACCTTCATTCAACTTGATTTTAGAAATAATAATATTGCAGTAATAATTAGAAGATTGAACACGTCAGTAGCCAGAATCCATCCTATAGCCAATTTGGTCCCCATTTTTCAGATAACACGCTATTCTATGCAATCAAAAGTCGACAAATATCCTTCTGGTGTTAACTTTGACTGTGTATGAGAACAGACATGTTTCTGAGGGAGAACAGAAAGAAACGCACACTTGAGATTTTTTGAACAAGTTCCAAAACGCCTACATCTCAGCGGAACAAACGATCACAAAAGTGCCATCACCAGACGTCGCGTCAGTACATGTCATGAGGTGGACATCATGAAATACTTGAAAATTATCAATAGACGAATAGCTCACTCCTCCCGAAGTTTACCACAACCATCGCCATCGAATGCTTGAAACCCAATTTATCCGTTGAGAAGGAAGAGGTTAAGAGTCCTTCCTTGACCTGGTAACTAGATGTCTCCATTCTTTTTTTCATTTGATCACATAACGCCGCGAATTTCAGTCTGTGTGATTAAAATGTTGTTTGGAATAAAGTGGTCATTAATATTATTATTATTATCACCAGTGTATGCATGCACTGATTTTTTGTTTAAACTTGAACTGTCTGTGTGGGTATTTTAAAATTGTTTCTGTACATAAACTGAATGATATCTTCCGGTTGTAAGTAGCTGATGTGAGGCAAATGAAGTGAATGATGGTACCATCTTGTTGTGCATACACTCTTCTTCTTGCTTTATTCAAACTTATATTTTTTCCATCACCGACAAATTACCTACCAGGATCATTTTTATTGATTAACTAGCTTTAGAAGTAAATATTTTAATCATAAACTTTGTGACTTTAAAAGAACACAATTTACCACTCCAGTGGAATGAGTTTATTAAAATAGTAAAAGTAGTCTGAAATACATAGACGACTCTCCTTGATATGCATTCTAATGGATTCTATCACAGATGAATATCCTCATTTTCTTTCGTGTATTGATTTCGCAATTCAAGTGGAATGTGGGGATTGAAGCTTGAACTCTAAAGTTCTAGTAGGGGTGGTAATTTTTTCATGGGGCATGGTTGCTAACATTATACATTCAGTCTCCCCTCGTTACCTGACTTATTATTCACCAAGTGAGTTTTAGGTGTGAGAAAAGAACAAGAGGTTCGGAGAAGAGATCTTTTCGGCGATTTTATTCTCAAAATCATTACAACAGAATTCATGTACATAGATTCACTTATTATTTGATTCAACATAATAACGAAGGAGGCTAAAGGAGATAATAACTTTCACTATGACATGAAAGTTAAGGGGTGTGAGCATAGATTACGAGAGGCTTATAAATGAAATTACACAGAATTATGAAATAGTTGCATTATGTGTAAAATAGGATTTTAACGAATACATGTATGAAGGGAATGAACATGGTTACAAATTGAAGTGATAGTTTTTATAACTGAAATTGAAAATAATGAAGGGAATGAAAAACGAACAAGAGAAAACTAGGGAATTAAACTGATCTAGATCCATGGTAAATGTACGGGTTGTACTAGTTTCGTTTGAACAGATAGCTCCGACGTTTCTTTGCGTCTGGTAAAGGCTCTTGCAGTACAGAGAAGCCGGTGACATATTGTCTTCAGTAGATTTTTGTTCATTTTTCAAGTGAATCTGAATGGTGAGTTAGTTGAGATGCTGTGGCAGATATTGGCCAAGTGTTCCGTTATAGTGCTTATGATTTAACCAGTGGCAGTTGGTTATGCTGTTTAACTTATTTCAAAAGGATGCGCACTGAACAACCCATGCACACAGCTCTCAACGAGCAAGTGAACTGATATATATATATATATATATATATATATATATATATATAATGTTGGTTATATGCGTGAGTTTGTCTTACAAATTGCTTTGAGGCAGTGGGTGGTTAGCGAATTTCGCTTTTATTGCCGCTGCAGGAAAGATTTTCTTAAAAGAACTGGGGATCCTGCTTTTAAGAGTATCTACAGTGATTGCACAACTTTTAAGAATGAAATTGCCAAAAAGATTCCCTTGACGAAATTCTTGTTTTTTTCTCCCCAATACCCTGATAAGTATTTTCCACAGTTTAGTAGTGAGTCGATCGGGAATCGAACCGGGATCACGCGAGATGAAGTCCACGAGCATTCCATTATTGAGACACTGACATGTACAGTTTTATGGGCTGCATGAAAACATTTTTCCCCGTATTAAATAGGTTTATTTGATTAAATTTTGAAGCTTTGATTACATTTTTAAAGATTGTGTCTAATGTTACAACCTTTCGTCTTTTTCAGGTTTTACACTTAGTCAATCTTATGGGTACGACACCGGCAGTGTCATTTTGGACTGGTGGTAAACTCACAAGACCTAAACAAGAAATAATAAATACTGAAAATAATACCAGCTTGAAAGTGATTTTAACTTGGTCAGATGGTCGAACAAGTCCTGCAAGTGTACTGGGTATGAGTGATGAAGATGAAAATAATCTCGAAGAGGGAGTTGTTTACTGTTTGTCATTGGATTTGACACGACTTACATGGCAAGCTCGTGACTGTCAACATCGTTTGGCTTATGCATGTTTAATCACTGTAAAAACTACTACTACTACTACTGCTAAAGAAATGCCTGAAAATGCTTCATTAGTACTAACAAATTTAACAGAGGTGAATTCCCAGCAAAAACCTTCAGTTCATAATCATACTATCAAAACATCTGATCGCAAAATGGAAAGTGAACATTCACCTGTGACTGGAAGTCGTTTGAAGACTGAGAGTGCCAAAGTTGATAAAAAGGATTCCTCTTTACAAAGTTTACCATTGACTACAACTGAGTCGACCCAGTCTACCTCAACAGCTTCCCTTATAACTGCTGTTACTAACAACTTTGAGAGACAGACTATTCAAAATAACAATATTGTGCTTACATTATCGACATTACCGACACCAGTGACAGTAATTCCTACTGACGGAACACAAACTGAAGGTAATCATACAAACGTTGATATTCAGTCTAAAGAACATGGTACATCTTCAAGAAATGAGAGTTCTGTTCCGAATTTGATTCATACATCACCTGCGAATGATGTAGATAAAAACATTGCCAGAAGTGAAGAAAGTTCTTCAGAGAAAGACCAAAAAAATGATACAGAATCCATCCTGAAAAACAATCAAACTGGAAATACAATTCCTATATCTCAGCTTCCAGTAGCGGCAAGATATAAGTATTATTACTATGGTGATTCTGATCGCCAAAATGACTATGAGGATAATGATGATGACGGATATTATCAAAGTCATAGTGACCTTGGTAGTCTTGATATGAAAGATCTCGAAGAGGAATTAAATAACCTTGGCACATCCGGAATACGAATGCCCAATATTCATCCGATTAGTCCTCCTGCAACTAAAAGAGAAAAGTCAACATCGCCAACAGAAGTGACGAGCACAGTGACAACACCTACAGAGCAACCCACAGCTGAGAAGAATGAAAATCCTGAAACCGAATCGACAGAAGCAACAAATTCAGAAACATCAGGTTCTTCCAGGCGAAGTCGTAGATCTGTAGGTGGAGAAGAAAGTGGCGGAGAAGTGCCATCCACTGAAACCTCATCTCCACCAACAACATTGTCGACAGAAGTGACGAGCCCAGTGACAACACCCACAGAGCAACTCACTGCTGAAGAAAGTCAGAAACCTGCAGAAGAATCTGGAGAATTGACGACGACGCCCCCTTCCGAGGGACTTGGTGAGTCTGTAGGCAATGAAGGAGGCAGCGAAGAAATGTCGTCAGTGCAGACATCATCTCCGTCAACAACGTCGTCAACAGAAGTGACGAGCACAGTGACAACACCTACAGAGCAACCCACAGCTGAGAAGAATGAAAATCCTGAAACTGAATCGACAGAAGCAACAAATTCAGAAACATCAGGTTCTTCCAGGCGAAGTCGTAGATCTGTAGGTGGAGAAGAAAGTGGCGGAGAAGTGCCATCCACTGAAACCTCATCTCCACCAACAACATTGTCGACAGAAGTGACGAGCCCAGTGACAACACCCACAGAGCAACTCACTGCTGAAGAAAGTCAGAAACCTGCAGAAGAATCTGGAGAATCGACGACGACGCCCCCTTCCGAGGGACTTGGTGAGTCTGTAGGCAATGAAGGAGGCAGCGAAGAAATGTCGTCAGTGCAGACATCATCTCCGTCAACAACGTCGTCAACAGAAGTGACGAGCACAGTGACAACACCTACAGAGCAACCCACAGCTGGGAAGAATGAAAATCCTGAAACCGAATCGACAGAAGCAACAAATTCAGAAACATCAGGTTCTTCCAGGCGAAGTCGTAGATCTGTAGGTGGAGAAGAAAGTGGCGGAGAAGTGCCATCCACTGAAACCTCATCTCCACCAACAACATTGTCGACAGAAGTGACGAGCCCAGTGACAACACCCACAGAGCAACTCACTGCTGAAGAAAGTCAGAAACCTGCAGAAGAATCTGGAGAATTGACGACGACGCCCCCTTCCGAGGGACTTGGTGAGTCTGTAGGCAATGAAGGAGGCAGCGAAGAAATGTCGTCAGTGCAGACATCATCTCCGTCAACAACGTCGTCAACAGAAGTGACGAGCACAGTGACAACACCTACAGAGCAACCCACAGCTGAGAAGAATGAAAATCCTGAAACTGAATCGACAGAAGCAACAAATTCAGAAACATCAGGTTCTTCCAGGCGAAGTCGTAGATCTGTAGGTGGAGAAGAAAGTGGCGGAGAAGTGCCATCCACTGAAACCTCATCTCCACCAACAACATTGTCGACAGAAGTGACGAGCCCAGTGACAACACCCACAGAGCAACTCACTGCTGAAGAAAGTCAGAAACCTGCAGAAGAATCTGGAGAATCGACGACGACGCCCCCTTCCGAGGGACTTGGTGAGTCTGTAGGCAATGAAGGAGGCAGCGAAGAAATGTCGTCAGTGCAGACATCATCTCCGTCAACAACGTCGTCAACAGAAGTGACGAGCACAGTGACAACACCTACAGAGCAACCCACAGCTGAGAAGAATGAAAATCCTGAAACCGAATCGACAGAAGCAACAAATTCAGAAACATCAGGTTCTTCCAGGCGAAGTCGTAGATCTGTAGGTGGAGAAGAAAGTGGCGGAGAAGTGCCATCCACTGAAACCTCATCTCCACCAACAACATTGTCGACAGAAGTGACGAGCCCAGTGACAACACCCACAGAGCAACTCACTGCTGAAGAAAGTCAGAAACCTGCAGAAGAATCTGGAGAATCGGCGACGACGCCCCCTTCCGAGGGACTTGGTGAGTCTGTAGGCAATGAAGGAGGCAGCGAAGAAATGTCGTCAGTGCAGACATCATCTCCGTCAACAACGTCGTCAACAGAAGTGGCGAGCACAGTGACAACATCCATTGATACACCTTCTACTGAAAGACATGAACAACCGACTGAGTTGAGGATTGGAGATTCGAACTCAGCATTATCAAATGTTGAAGGAAATGAAGAGTCAGTTTCATCAGCAGAACCAGTCGGATCACCTGCAGATGAGACGGAATCGACACCAGAATCGGGGCAAGTAGCAGAATAAGTACATTAATAGATAGTTAGCACGTAAATTTGGCCAAATACATGAGGACCGGATTAATAATGCATTGTTACAGGTTGTCTGTACACCATAAATTCTAATATTAATCTGTTTGTTATACCAAATGTCAATCTTTTTTTTTATAACTCTTATGTCAAGTATACTTGTAACTTAGTATCAACAGTTCTATGTGTAAAATAATTAAAAGTAATTACTTATTGTTATTAGGCTTCATCTTGTTTGTCATTGTGGATGTCGTTTGTACAAGTCAAATTTTCAAATTTTAACAGACAGGATGTTAAGTAGTATTTCAAACGAAAGGTCAGAGAGGTGAATGGTCAATGTGAAGTGTGGATATTGACTATCTGTGTGGTATAGCTTATCAAATTCCATGCATGTATATATATATATATATATACCTTTCAAGCATTGGTTTTGTAGGGAATTTTGTTTATTAGGTTGAAGGATTTCATCATGAGCTGGCATCACTTACAGAGCCATTGAGAAACCCACCAAATAGTACTGGACAGTTGTTTTGTCAGCCTGGTTTGGGACTCTTCATCAGTACGCACACACCCACAATGGTTAGAACACAGGACCTTCTGGTGACAAGCCAAGCGAGCTCGTAGACCATTAGGCCACTGGGACCCAATCCAACGGCCAACACATAAATTCTAACTTTTGCCAATCCAGGACATAGTGCAACCACTTCTCAATGTCTTCTTCGATGAGCCATTGCCTCACCTTCAACCTGCTGCACCCTACTGGTCACGGCTCCTTACTAGAAACCCAGGTTAACTGCCTGAATAAGGCCATTCGCTAGTGAGCATCAGATGAATCTTTAAGCATTGGCTTTTGTGAAGATTTCGTTTGATTGATTGGAGGATTTCATCATGAGCTGACCTCACTTGGTTAGTAAGAAACGATTCCAAACTCTTTTTCAGATTACTAGAGATTTTTTTGAAAGTATAGCAAACACTTTTGGGTGGGCTTCGCGCACGTTATCAAAAATAATAATAATAATAATGGCTTTATTCCAAACAGTATTTTTGGTAAAAATAGGGAATTTTCAGCATATAGTACAGTATTGCATCTAGTTTTCTCACTACTTAATACAGGAGAAATAATTAAAACAGGGTATTCACGGTTTTTAACCTCTATTATAATGAACAGGGTATTCAAATTGATAACGTTAATAAATGAGAATATAAATATAAAGTTTAAATCTAAGTGAATATATACTAATCATAATATAATAACGAAAAAAAGGGGCTTTTTTCTTGGTGTTTTTCAATTAGTTCCATAGTGCCATGACTTGAACTTTTATCACCACATAAAATATGTAATTGACAGATAAGGAACTGTACAGTTTCTATACTTAGTCATCTGAGCATATAGCCTTTTGTAGTTGTTTCTAGTTCTACTTGATGAGATGCAAGAAGAGACTGAGCATAAAGAGGATTCTCAGGGTCGGAAAGGATTACATTCGCTAATTCCTTGCACAAGAACGTGTCTGTCTACATCAAACAGTCTTAAAGAGTTGGTTCAACAGAAACCCATTCGCCCTACCGACAGCTTTTAGTGCTCTTCGTAGTGTAATAGAGTCTTTCTTAAATAGACCAGGAAAGATTACGGGCGAGCATTAAAGAAGGAAAGATTGAATGCAAGAACTAACAAACTGAAACTGTAAAGACTGGTGAACGCCAGATTGTCTTATCTTCCTGACGTAGAACTTTAGACGAAGTGTCTTTCTTGAAACTAACATGATGTGAAAGACCAGGAAAAATCATAGGGAATACACAGTTCAAGGTATTTAACATTCAACTTAGTTTCAATTTCAGTGCCATCTATGATAGTGGAACCCTTTGCGAACCAAACAGTTCATTTAAGTCATTCTTGAGTGACTGAAAGTAAAATTAACAACCTAAAATTTCGAGGGATTTGGCCTAAGACCATTTGGGGAGGACCACTGACTAATTAAAAATAAAAATTTATTAATTTTAGAACAGTCTGACTGAGAAATAACCGCTGGCATGGGAACAGTCAGATCATCAGCATACTTAAAAACTGGCTTCGTCAGAATAGGTAAAGTCATGTTAGAAGAAAGAAAGCAGAAAAGGAAAATGAACAGCCCCTTGAGGAACACTGGCTAGGTTAAGTGAGTGTAACCACTTGGTAACCCAGCTCTGTGATTGTGACGCAGTGAGCTTGTTTAACTAGAGAGGCCTAGATGTAGAGCTGAAAGCAGATCTTGTAATCAAGAAAGGTACATCGATCATATCTTGCGCCTCTGTCCAACCTAGAAACAATATTATGACGTAAGACACTAGAAGCATCTAAAGTACACCTACTATGCTTATAAGCAGATTGATTAGGGTCGTTAAAAGCCTTCAGTGAGGGTTCAAGTTTAAGTAAAACCAGATTTTCCATTATTCTTTAAAAAATGAAGTAATGGTAATAGATCTAAACTTAACATTCGATCCAACTGATAAATTAGGCACAGGAAAAATTTTGATATTCTTCCAAAACCTAGGAGTACTGCAAAGCCGTTTCATCCTAGTTTGGGACTCCTCATCGAGGGGTTCGAACGCAGGACCTAACATTGGTCAGCTAATAGTGAAATCCTGTAACCAATCAATCAAATTACTATAAACCGATACTTGAATATCAATGAGGTGCTCACTAGCGACTGGCCCTAATCAGGTAGGCAGTTACCTGGGGGTTCCAGTGGGAAGTCGTGACCAGTAGGGTGCCGCAGGTCGGGTATGAGGACAAATACCCGCTGAAGACATTGGTTAGCGGTCGCGCTATATTGTGAATTGGCAGAAGTTAGAATTCATAGGCTGTACATTGGATGGGGTCCCAGTGGTTTAATGGTATACGAGCTAGCTCGCCTTGTAACCAGAAGTTCCTGGGTTCGAACCCAGGTCGGCTCATACTGCTGAGATAATTCAGATAGTGTCACCATAAATCACAAACAGGAGGAGACCAAAGAACAACTTATTTCGCTAACAACTTAATAATTAGTAGGTTTCATGCTTAACATTATCCCTATCACATACAACGTGAGACAAATAGGGAACCGTTGAGTTTTTGTACTTACCAGTGTGAGCGAGCATATAATATTCTATAATGACTTCTAGTTCTACCTGATGAGAGGCAAAGTGCGGAAAGTTGTGAATAGAGAGGGTTCTGAGAGTCAAACAGTATGGATTTAGGCCATTTCTCATATGAGTTCAGATGTCCGTCGACTACATTGGTAATGAGGCGGCACACGAGATGCTCTGCTGATGACCTTTCACACCCCTTCTTGAGTAGCTTAAGAGAGACTAAATGGGAGCAATAAAGAACAACAAGTAAGATGGAAAGTTAACAAATAGTGAAAGTAGAGGTTGAGTGATTCCTCAATGTCTTAATTTCTCAGTGTAGAGTGTTAGACGAAACATTTTCTTACACACCAGCAACATATGGAATGACGAAGAGAGTTCAGAGGACAGAACTATTTCCGGGTATTTCATGCATGAACTAGTTTCTATTTAAGTGCCATCTATGCTACAAGCATCACGTGAGCGAACGAGTTCGTGTAGGTCACGTTCATGCCTGAAAGGGAAGCTAACTTCCGGACATTTGGCGGGAGTTCATGTAAAACAATTTAGCTTAGACAACTGGTTAATGTCCGACGAAAAGCCATAAAATTAAGAACAGTTAAGTCGGGACGTAACTAGCAACGAGATAATCAAATCATCACCGTGTTTAACGGAGTTGATTTTTTCTGAAAGAAGCAAGTCTTGTAAGAAAAAAAAAAGAACAGAGAAAAATACCTTGAAGGACACCAGCTTCAATAAGCAAGCTAGAGGAAGGTGTGCTTTTACACACAGTATACTGCATTCTGTTCGAGAAGTAAGAATGCTAATAGTTAACAGTCCAGGACTCTGTCTGTGTCAAAGAAAGCTTATTAAACAGAAGACATCTGGGAATACAGATTCAAAAGCGGGTATTTATTCCAAGAAGGTACGCTGAAAACATATCTGACTTCTTTTTCTAAGCAAGACAAAATATTATGGTATAAGACAACAGAAGCATCTATAGCACATCTGCCCTGTTTATATGCAAACTGTTTAGATTCGTCAAAACAGGCATTCGCAGAGAAGAAAATTTTCTTTTCGGCGAAGTCAACAACTAGTCTGTACATTCATGTATATATAGTATACTTCGGTGAGAACTATTTCCAGTCGAGGGTTAAATTGTAGAGAATAAGGAGAATACAAATAAGATCGAAAACCGTAATAATAATAATAGAAATAAACAGGAATATAGGATTAAAACACATAATTGGATAATAATTAATGAAAAAAAAACTGACTGTTTATGATTGTCATGGTAAAGAGAAATGGTTGGACGTACTTCTTTTAAATACATGGTGTCGGATTAAAGCTTTGGGTCTTTACTGCTTCAGCCATGTCCACATATTTTGATCTCACTCCCTTTGAGAAGTTCGTTCGGATATTGCATAGGGCTTTGAAGAATTTTTCAAATGGATTTCAGTCTCCTGAGTTGACTAGATGTTCTGTTACCGAGCTATGAACACACCTACTTTATCTCCCTTTACTAACCAGGCCTGATAGTGTTCCTAAGCGTGTTTTATCAGCACATGCATGATAAAGCTGATGTTCGCAGCTCGACACAGGCAGGTGAACTGTTATATGCCTGTTGATGTGGCCCAGGGAGGCAACTTGTCTTTCACGTGTTGGCCAAATATATGCTTGCAAGAAAATGTTACTTTTAGACTGGCAGCGAATTATGTTCTACTTAGAGATTTCGAGAGCTGTTTTCAGAGAATTCCTGCTTCAGTATCACTTAAATTCGAGATTCAACAGTGGGATCCTTTGGAGAGGGATGTCTGTACCTATACAGAAGCTTTATTTGGTTTCAGATTCTTTGGAAACCATTTTTCGCCAAGATTAGATAGAGATCTTATATCCCTATATCAAGAGATTCTTTAGTATAAATTTTCTTGATCTTTGCAAAAACCGCATAGATGAGATTCCGCTTGCTGCTTAGAGGGGCAGAACTAGAAAATTAATAAACTATGATTTTCATGTGAGCTGTTTGTAGATGGAAT